AACTTTTCCCCGAAGCCCAAGCTGGTCTTTGCAGTGCTTAAGCCCAAGTCCCTCCACTGGTTTATGTGATCGAACATGAACTGCGAAGTCTTCCGGCCGTTGGACGGGCCCAAGGCCTCCGCAGGGACACTCAAAAGTACTTTGGGGCTGTTTTGGGACGCTTGCGGGGGCGGAATGATCAACGTGGGTCTGGCGAAACCAACTTTCTTCTCCACACTGGGTGTTCCCGGTGTTTTCGCTTCTATCGACGTTGACGTCACAGGCACAGCGTTATTACTTTCCATTGTATAAACAGTTTATCCAAGCGTTTCGGTAATTATTATTTAAATCAATCGGGACGTCGTCCTTTCTTTATTTTTGGAACGGAGCGCATCACACGCTTGGTAGTGACCGCACTTTCAAGACTGGACCGTCGTTAACGCGTGCTTTTTCCCAAATATTTGTAAACAAGTTATTAATATTGCTTTTCTGGAAAAGTGGCTCGGCGTCTCTGACTCAATCGTTTCGCTAAGGGCACTTGGATGCCACCCAAATCCATATACCAGTCGAAGCGCAAGTACAATTTTACCAAAAAAAAACTTATAATCACCTACAAGCTTTATGGACGATAAAATTCAGCAGCTAGTGAATAAATGTATGGACCGAAAAACTATGCGCTTCGCATGTGCGTTTGTTGCCTGCAATGAGTAGTTTTCAAGCTGCTAAGGAGCGCCACATTTGAACCCATAATAATGAAGACATCGTCGGTTAAAGCCCAAAAATGCTCAGCATCTCAAGAGCATATCGAGTTTTCCACTAAGCTTCTGTGCAGTGAAAATTGCGAACTCCCTTGCGCTTTTTCAGCTGCTTTTCCAAACTCCCTGTACGCTTAAAGTCGCGTTCGAGAATTCCGCGAATCCTGACAAATTCTGGCGAGTGGGCGATTTTCAGAGCATTAGAAGCGAAAATATCCCACTACTCAGACAATATTTAGTGTTCATTAGGGAGAACGACGAACCGTTTGGCTGCTGAAAGGCTTTGAGGATTTTTGCCGAGCGATTAGCCGAGATTTATGGTGACTACTTTTTAAAATAAACGCAAAAAATGAATTTTTCAAAGCATCTCTCAGAATCAAAATAGGTTGTTTGGCAACCAACTGGAAATGCCGATGAAGAAAACCACCGAAAATCACAATACAAATAAATATTTATTACCTTATAACACTACTGAATCGTTCAGTCACGCTATAGACAAATCACTATAAACGTACACAGTTAATAAATTCCATTAAAATACAAAAATGAAACAGTTTAGTTTGGATAAATGAACAGAACCAGAGCAGCGCCTTGTGCAGACAAAAATATTAATTCAGATGTACATGTTAAACACAGTATCAGCTGACATAAATCTCGATACTCTGTATAGTTTAGGAATACGATTAGATTACGATTCTATACAAATTATCTGCGTGTTGACAGAGAATTACAACAAAAATTAATATTTATGTATATACAATAAAAAGCCGTCCCCGTGTGTAACAGCTTTTTCCGGCCGGTCATAATTATCGAGCAGCAGAACAATTAAAAACTTAATATAGATGTGGCTTTGCCCAGGATGCTGAAATATTTGGTAAGAATATTAATAACTAACTAAAGTAAAAAAGACGCTTTCTAAGTTCCTGATGGTATACAGAAGATCACCACCGCAAGACTCTCCATAGGCAATAATAAACAATGTTAACGTATCAAAACTACTGGGAACAATCAGACTAAACGACAAATACTTGGTAAGAAGGAAGTAGAGTATACGGCGACCCATTTAGGCCCACCTACAAAGCCAGTGTTATATCAGTCTTCCACATCACATCACTTGCACCAAGCACTTGCTATTCAGTAGCTGAAACTTCACTTTTTACCACTCGGCTTCGCCATTGGCCTTTTGGAAGACAAAGTCTATTCCGCTCAGATTCATAATGCCGTCTTTCAAGTAAAACTTCCATTTGTTTCGATTACGAATTATTTTGTCATATTGACAAACCACAATGTTGTCCGTATCGAAGAGATCTGTGGGGTCATCATCAGACACATCATCCTCCGAATTGAGCGGCTCTTCCTCATCGGCTTCATCTTCAATTTCCTGATCTTCTTCATCCTTGTCGTCGTCCAAATCGTCTTCATCGTTATCATCATCCGAGCCATCCGAAGCCTCATCTGAGGTATCCATAGAACCATCCACTTGTGTTATTACCGGCTTTGCCTTCTTCTTTTTCTTTGATTTGCCTGCAAAAACAATAAATTAATTAGTCTTCTCCACAAGCAACTTGGGCAAACATATACCATAGTGATGAGCTTCGTTATTTATTATGTACATAATACGGTACCTTTTTTCGCAGATTTTCCAGACCTGGACATGCAGATCTCAATTTCAAATTGATCGTCTGAATCACTCGCCGCCCCGTCAGTCTGCACAACGTTCTTATTTATAACATTCACGGACTGTTGTTGGCTGCTAAAGGCGGCATTTACGTGTTGCTGTAACAGCGAGGAAGCGATGGCCGGCGGAAGGCCCATAGTTGCGGTTATAACTGGACCTGTGAGGACTTTCTGTAGCTGGTTTCCTTGCAAAGCGGTCGCTGGAACCTGCAAAAGACCATATTTCTCTTCGTTTTTGTGACCAGTGCTCTTAGAAGTTAGTTATATGGTTGTGTTAGTTTTCCTTCTTTTCAACAAGATTGCTCCTCACGATGTTATTGAAATGAACAACTAGAAAACACATTAGATTTTGCCATTTGGAAGCCCTGGGTTTAATCAGAACGATTCACAGCCCAATTCGTTTTTATGCGGATTTTGCTGTTTATTTCATTGCATAGCAAGTGGATTATTTCGATTATACAGTTTTCTAATTAAAACGAAAAAATATCCAATTAGAGTAGAAAATAATAATCGATAAAGAATATGTGAGTAGCAAGGAAACATTCACATCAGTTTCTACTGCTTAAGTGGAATATTTCGTAAGCAGCTATGGTTCAAACCTCAAGGGCCTGATAGAATCAGCCTATTTATAAACACGTAATCTTAGAAAAGATAACAACCGGTTTTAAACCAAAACCATCTGTAACTATGCATGTGGTGTATATTCGATGAATCAATGAGGTTTTATGCAATTATGATAATGGCAAGCTTATTCAGTTTCAAGGTCTTCCACAGAAACTTTTCTAACCCCGTTAGTGGTTTTTCCAACTTAACAAACCTCGATAGTTAGATTCTAACGAGTTTTACCTGTATTGTCAGCACTCTCTGGCCTTCAGTTCCTGGTTGATGCGGCAAAGTGATCTGAATGGGAACCATCTTAGTCTCGATAATAGATTGAATAGGTGCAGTAGGTCGAGGCTGGGACTGCTGAGCTTGCAGCGCTGGAGGTATGACTGGCTTGGAAAAGCCATTGGAAATCTCTTGCTTCTTGAGCTTCTCATCCACATCATTCTGGACCGCTTTACTGGCCATCAGTTTGGCTTCCCACGTTTGTTTCAGTTCGACCAAGACTTGCTCGTCCACCCCGTCCTCAGCAAAAGAATCCCTCACCCCGGACAGCACATCTTCCATAATGTCCTGATAGATCCTCAACACCGACGTCTTGCACAGTGAGGTTGCCATAATTTTTATGGATAATACTACAGAACAGTGCACTGGCCCTTAGTGGGGCATTAATTAGTGAAATTTGCAACTTCTACAAGCAGCAAACGAGAAATAAATGGATAAAATGTTCCCCGTTTTGTTCTCGATGACAAGTGTAGACAATTAAATAGGGTTATGAGCGGAAGTTGGCTTCTCTGGTGCCGAGTTTCGTTCATCCGCTGTAGGTGGGGTATCCAAGTGTAGTAGGCAATCAGTTATACAATAAAGTGTGTTTGTGCAGGCGTTTAAGATTTTGTTTCTTGTTAGTTACCTATTCTAATGTTATAAAAATATATGATAAAACTGAACGCTTGAGTTCCCATTGCGAGATAAAGCTTTATAATGTTTATTTGCTTTTCCATGTAAAGCTTCTTAAAGAAATATTTCTAGTTTTCACGCTAAATGCGGTAATGCAAGATTAGTGCTAATTCTTAAAACCGCTCTTAGTTGGCTCATTGTAAGAGAACCGGATGAACTGTAAAGTTCTAGTTTTCATTTAGGGATAGAGCTTTGAAATTATTAGGTAAAACATAAATCTATAAATGTGTCTAGTTTTCACGCAAAGTGCAAAAATTCTGAAAAGTGCGGGTTTTGAACAACGCTGTTAGTCTTTGGCTCATTTTTAGAGAACCGGTTGAGCTGTAAAGATCTAGTTAGAATATGCGAATAGAGAGTTAAATTGCGCCTTTCTTTGCTTCAAATATCATTCTAGAAATGCTTCAAGTTTTCACGCAAATTGCGAATATGTAAAATTGACGCGAAGCTTGAAAACTGGTCTTAGACTTTGGCTCATATTTAGAGAAGCGGTTGAGCTGTAAAGCTTCAGTTGCTATTGGCGGATAGACCTTTAAAATGAGTACTTTCTTATATAAAGCATCAATTTAGAATTGTTTCCAGTTTTCGCGCAAAACCTTAAAATTCGAAAATTAAAAATTAACGCGGGTTTGAAAACGGCTCGTATTCTTTGACTCATATTTATAGAACCGGTTGAGCTGTAAAGTTCCAGTTATCACTGCCGGCTAGAGCACTAAAGTGCGATTTTTTTAAAATTAAACATCAATTTAGAAATATTTCTAGTTTTCAGGCAAAGTATGGAAATTCAATTTAAATGCAAATTTTTAAAACTGCTCTTACTCATTGTCCCATTGTTAGAGACCCGGTTGAGCGGTAAAGTTCTAGTTGTCATCTAGGGATAGAGCCTTAAAATGCGCTGTTTTTAGCGCAAAAATTTTAAAGAATGTACATAAACCGGTCGCAACTTCGAAATTCTGGACTCATTTTAACGATTTTTTTCGCCCATTGCGATTTATCGCCCAACTTGGCAGCACTGGTGGTGGTATATATTTGATGCCCCCTTACTTCAGACCTGTTGAGACAGATAAGCCTTGTTCAATGCTTCAGACCTATTAATATTTCGCGTATTGTGGTGACAATCGCTGTCACGTGTATACGACGATTGAGGCCTTTGTTTACAAATATAGAAAATATATTTCATAACATCAAATTATTCAGAATCGGGGCCAAATATTTGTTCTGATCTTTAACTTCCCAAACTCAACTAAATCGACATGAATTTCTTACGAAATGTGCGTAGTTCTCTATCCGGTTGGTTTCCTCAAAGGGACGCTATCATGGAAACCCCAACAGGCTTAGGGGACATTTACTTTGAATTGATAGTAAAAACGCTGTCCTGGAACACCCGCTATACACTGCACACGCTCGTCTTCTGGCTGGAATTCCACATGTAAGTCAACTCGAATAATTGCTAATTGTTAGTTAATGGATCCTCAAAAGCCCATTTGCTTGCATTCCAAATGTTTCAAATGCTGAAAACTGCCAATAGTTTGATTATAAATAAACCATACAGCATTAAATGGCAAGCCAAGCACAGGCTCAAGTCCTGGCCATTTTGTTTCATGTGAAATTGAAGAGTCATTGTTTCCCTAAAAGCCTGGAAGGGGCCTTTGAGTTAACCAAGCTGGAACCCTGCAGATAATTGCGATTTATTTGCGCAAAAACGAGTTTTATGCGTCTGGCCTGATGACTTTGCTTCTAGTGCTGCATTTTGCCCATTTTCCAATTAGTTAGTTGGAGTCTAGTGTTGGATATCTTACACTTTTTAATTCGCAAATACGCAGTTTTTTTATGGCTCTGCTAAAACAGTACAAGATAGATGGAATATTTAAGTGTTCAAATTCAAAAATATAATTACTAAGCCCCCATTGGATTATTCAGGCAGGGAGAGCGTGTCTTGTTATTCTTCAGTGGGGTGAAAATTAGGGGGAAAGTATCCCAACCCACCCCAAAATCGACGGCATTAACATGCCGACTTAACACCGATGACGCATCTATAAATATTAGCAAAATGTGTGTCTTCAACCATTATTCCTGAATTAGTTCCACCCGTTTTCCAGTCAGGAATTTAAAATTCCGCAGGCCAAACCAAAATCTTATTGCTCATTCGATTTTACCCATTTACTGATCAAACTAAACCGATTAGATCGAGCCGAGATAAAGAGGAGCAAAGAGCAAATTAATTATTTCCAACAATTGAATCGACAGGATCAGGAAATGTTCGATTTGTGCCAGCTCTACAAGCCTTTTTTGGCTGCTGGTGCCTTTTTTTGCAGCTGCCGATTATACAAACCCCCTTTTTCAACCACCCGCCAGATAATAGACGTCTCACGCTAGCCGGATGGTGCTTTATCTACCTGCATCTTGCCGCTTTCTTATAACCGTTCTAAAAATTCTTTAAACAGGTGGAGATTTTAAAAAGCCCAAATGGGATTAAATAAAAAAAAACTGCATGCATACAGGGACTCAAATTGTTGTTGTTTTCAGATTGATGTTACTTAAAGCTTTCAACACTCTTGGGTGTTTCTTTTTCGTCCTGATGGTGTTTTTTATTGTCGACTTCCTATACAGACCCGTTTTTGCGGCGCAATACACCGGCCAATATTCAGACGATTTAAAAAGGCTGAAACGGTGTTGCATGAGTGGGTTTGGAAGCATGAGACATAAAGCAGCAATCCTGGTAAGTATGCAGGACAACTGAAACTTGGCTTGACCGGCTGTTTTATCCAACTATTTTTTCCAGTTTTACCCAGTGATTAGTGGGCTCCTGTGGGGGTTGGCAGTCATTTCGACGAAAGTGTCAGGCCTGGCTCTGTCTCTAGGATTCATTCTTTGCATATACACTTTGCCCCTGCTGGTGAAGAGGCTTCCAAAAACCGTTTACGACTATCTGGAAAGTTGTTACAGGAGTTTAGGAGCATCGACTTGTAAGTGACCTGTTTTTTTGTTCTATAAACTAGTCTTCCTATCAATTCTCCAGAAATTCTGGCACTCTCCCTAGTAGTTTGTAGAGTTTTGGTTTAATTATGCTAAATTTTTCGTTGATTCTTAGCCGCCGTTGCTGAAGACGAGTTGTTTCCCTATTGGCTGAACAGTAAAGAGGACCCAGAGTTTGAGAGTTTGGGTGTTGAACAAACTGCAGGTATTTATATCGCTGTTTATTTTGTCAGTAGCAGCAAATTCCTGAATTCGAAGGCAACAACGAAGAATGGAAAAACCTAGAAAAACAACACTTTTCTGATAATCCTTCATTTGCAGATTTGTTCACGTCCTCAATGCCCTCGTATCTGGAAGTAGCAGAACCATCGCTGGTAATCCAAGAAGAGGACTTGATGCCGCATTCCTCAAAGTCGGGCATGTCGATCACCCCCGTTGAAATTTCAAGCGACTCTGATTCCGAAACAAAAGGCATCGAGTTTCAAAGCGAGCACTTCAGCTCCAGCTCATCGGAAGAAGATCAGTTTCTGGTACAAAACACAAGAACAAACCCTCTGGTCCAAAGAAGTGAAAGTGACTCGGACTATGATATTATAGATCCCGATGAGGTGTCGAGTTTAAATGCGTAAACCGATCCACTTTTATTGGAATCCTAGTCACTAACAGGATCTTCTTGAAACACAAGGTACCCAAGAACTAGCAATAGTTTTTTCTAGTAATTTAATTTCTGAGTTTGGAAGTGTTTTCAAATATTAACGCAAAGTTTGATCTTTTCAGGCGAGTGTGGTGCAAAGGGGATGCCGTTCACGGACAACTTTAGCCTATTTCCTAGTAATAATTCAACATAATACTTCACATTGTGCTTTTTTATCTCGCATTATCCTGCAAAAAAGGTGAAAACTATATGAAAATATTTATATCACTCCTTCAATGCAAAAAGTTGTTGGTACGATGATAAAAGTCCACCAGTCCCCAGTTAGTTTTAAGTTCAAAGGCTGTTATTTTCTGCTACTTAATTCTTAGGTCTAAGAGTCAGTGTAGTAGTTACCTTGTGTTTTAGGGCAGTAGGATAATGGAGCATAAGTATACGTAGATTAAGTAAAATGTATATTTTGAAAACGGCCCGTTTCTTAATATAATCATATCAAATATTTCCTAGTGTTTCTCTTAACTTGATCACTTCAATCACACTTTGTTTTCTCGGGTGTTTTGGTGAGAGACACTATTTCTTTTCTTCTGGGAAGAATCAGTTCAAATGCCTCTTTGAACGTTTTGCCTTCACTGACTCTGATTAGGATCTCGAAGACTGCCAAAGAATGGAACTTAATGGATAAACGTGTAATTTTGAACGAATCCTACCTTGATTTATTGTTAAGACCTTTCGTTGTTTCATCCAGAAATATTCTCCAATTGGAAGCTGACCATGTGCTATGCCCTCTTCTACAGCTTTATTGTAGCAGATGCCCTTAAAAAATCCATCTTAACGCGGGTTAAATTGCAATTCACTGCCGACTAACTTTATGCCCATTATGGTCCACTAAACCGCCAATTATATAAACTTTGTCGTCTTCCAGATTGTGTATAACGTTGTCGCTGTCGCTTGTTAAATAAACTAGCTTGTCCCTAGGGAAAATGTCCAAATAGTGGCTCTCGTGAAAGTGAATGTCCCAATGCTGGTATCCATTGTGCCTTTCCATTTCTTCCTTGCTGCGCCCCTTAAAGCTGCTTAGGTGAAGTTGCATGGGAGCGGACGCCCTCCGGTTTTCAGTATACACCCGTAAAATTTGCTTTACTGTCTTGGCCATATCCTAAAAACAGTCGATTGAAATTTAAATCAGGGGCTTGCCGATTAGGGCTCACCTTGTCAATCATTAAATCGTCGAAGCTCAAGTCAATGCACACTGCAGTTTGACAAGGACTAGCTTCCATCGTCTTCCTTTTCAGCTCCTTCCGGCTGGGGCCCAGATCGATGTTGTTGAGCTTGGCATGTTTGCGTTTCTCTTTGCTCTTCTGCTTCTCCTTGCTGCGTTTTTCTTTCTTCGCCTTCTGCCATTGCATGTACTTGTGGTACTTTTTCAACTGCCGTTTAGTCAGTTTTGATATCTCCACCCCATTGAACTTTTCATCACCGTGCTCTGTCGATATGGGGCTGTTTAGGGCTTCCGCGGACAAGCGTTCTGATTGGCCCAAATTGCTCTCTATTCGTTCACTGGTTGCATCTGGTAGAGTTTCCATTGAATTTGTAGAATTTTCGGTCATTTTTAAGGCGAGAAACCACGAGTTTTCTGCACCAGCAGATTTTTAGGTTACTAGTTTATAACCTTAAAAGTCATTCGCCATTCAGTCTGTCAGGTTTGTCTATGCAGATACAAGTTGTCATTCGGGTTTTCAGGGCTTAAAAAATTAGTTGTACAAAAAAAACAAAAAATTAATACTTTAATTTATAATAAAACGTTGCTGAAAAACTATATACATGAAAATTAGATGTCTAAAGCACCATAAGCCTAGGAGCAATATTCATAGACATCAGCTCCTGGAACAGCAGCTTGGCCGCATAAGGTAAACGAACTTGCGAGATTTGGGTCTTATTCTTGCAGCCCTTGCACTCGAATGTGTTGTTCCGCATATTGGCAATAGCGATCAGGCCGCAGAAGTTGCAAATGTGCACCCGATAGGGATCGGACACCTCGAATAATCGTTCCCGCAGGAACTGAGCGGCACCATGGGATATTTGGCAATCTCGTTCCATTTCTCCGAAACGCAGGCCTCCGTCTCTCGCCCTACCCTCCATGGGTTGTCGCACGAGAATCTGCACTGGGCCTCTGGCTCTGGAGTGAATTTTGTCGTCCACCATGTGCTTCAGACGTTGGTAGTATGTGGGGCCCAAGAAAATTTGGGCATTGATCTTCCTTCCCGTGTGCCCGTTAAACATCACCTGAGAAAGCCAGCAGTTAAATAAGAAAAGCCTGAATTATCACCCAAAAACTCACCTCGTTGCCTCTGAGTTGGTATCCATACTCTTGCAAAAGAGTGGAGATTTTCTGCACGTTTACCGCGTCATTAAACGGGGTGGCGTCACCAATTTCCCCCTTGTTTGAGGAGACCTTCCCTTGAAGACACTCGATCAAATGGCCAATTGTCATACGCGACGGGATGGCATGGGGGTTGATGATGATGTCCGGCGTGATTCCTTCGCATGTGAAAGGCATGTCCTAGACAACTCTCAATTAACCACATATTTCCTAATTACTGGAGTATTCACGTACCTCCTGCCGATACTGAATGCCGCAGGTTCCTTTCTGTCCGTGCCGGGAGGCAAATTTGTCCCCGATTTGCGGGATTCTAACCGAGCGCACCCTGATTTTGCAGAACTTGTATCCCTCAGAATTTAACGTTAACATCACTTGGTCCACGACTCCCGTCTCACTGTTTCGTAGGAAGGTGGAAGCATCCCGCTTTGTCCATCTTTTAGTCACACCTTCCAGCTAGACAAACAAAAACTCAATCAAATATACAGCAACTAATCGCAAATTCGCCCTATTACTTCGTCGTCATTTTCAGGCAAAGTCATAGTTTTTCCTATAACAACATCATCTCCAGACACTCGAATTCCTGGCGATATGATGCCGTCATCATCCAATTTGTCGTAAAGAGCGTTTCGCATTCCTTGGCACGTTTGCCTAGTGGGTTTCTCGAATTGCTCTTCCTGATCGCCAATGCGCTTGGATTCGGCGTCTTTATACGAACGGTAAAACACTGATCTGCAGATTAAAGGTAGTTAAGAAAAACGCACAGAAAACGCGGTAAAACTTACCTAAAGAACCCGCGCTCCACAGCAGAAGCATTTAAAATAACGGAATCCTCCTGGTTATACCCTGTGTAGCAGGCAATGGCCACTATGCTGTTGATTCCAGCTGGCAACTCTCTAAATCGGAGGTATTCCATGGATCTAGTGGTAACCAGGGGCTTGTGAGGGTAATAAAGAACGTGAGCCAATGTGTCCATCCGCACGTGGAAGTTTGTGATATAAACGCCTGAAATTGCAAAATCCAGTTAAAACCTTTCCCCTACTTAGACTACTATAGTAACGCGTACCCATAGCCTGTTTGCCCATAGCACTTTGGTAGGTGTTCCTCGGACTTTGGTTGTGATCCGGGAAGGGAATAATGGACGCGCACACCCCTAAAATCATAGCGGTATGGATCTCACAATGCGTGTATGTGCTGCAGTAGGCGTAGTCCTTTTCCTGCCGCAAATCGTCTGGGGTGATGGCAATCATAACCGTTTCTTCCTCCAGAGTGTCTATGTATTCCACTACACCTGCAAAAAGCAATCGCCAATCAGCAACAACAAACAACCCATTAAACAAACTATTACCTGAGGCGACTAACATCTGCCAACCATAGTTATTGTACTCCCGCTCCTTCAAATTGTCTATGTGCTTCTTCTTAAGCAGCAGCTGACTATTTTCGACAATCAGCAGTGGTCTACAAATACGACCGGCGTCTGTATAAATTCGAATTTCCCTATCCCGAATATCTCGGATCATCGACACTTCGGAGACAATAATGTCCATTTGGCGCCTGAGTTTCCTCAACGTCGCCATAAGTTGTTCGGGATCGCGATGAATACCCACCTGTTGATAAACGTCCATTCATAGACCAAACGAATCGCAGATCTAATGGTTGCTTTACCCAACATCCGTTGACGAATATCTTCGTGGCATTTGCTATAGCCGACGGCGCAATTTCTTCCAAGTTCTCCATGGACCATTCTTCCAAAAACTCCAGAATGGGGGACGGTTGAGATCCGACAGATATGTAGGCCATGAGAGCCAGATTTTTTACAAGACCTGGAAATAATGATTTCGTGAACATTTGAAACCCGTAAGTGCAATTAAAAGCTCCTCTAATTTATGAGAGCCTCCATGTCTAACAGTAAAGCATAACTCCCTCACATACCTACAGCGGCGCCCTCAGGGGTTTCAGCTGGGCAAATCATGCCCCAAAGAGTGTTGTGGAGCTGACGCGGTTTAGCTAGCTTGCCATCCCTACCAATGGGCGAGTTTACTCGCCTTAAGTGAGACAGTGTTGAGGCAAACGTCAGGCGATTCAATACCTGCGCAGCCAAAAAATACAGATGGAATAGTACTTAAACTGGCAACAATTTGGGCTCACCTGAGATACGCCTGCCCGAGCCTGATGCGCCTTCTTCTGGTCGCCCCAGTTTCCAGTGGCCAGTGAATACCTCAACCCATCGGTGATCAATTTGGTTTTAATGGCCAGATCCAAATTGAAGTCCTTTCCTCTATCAATGAACTTCTGTGCATACATTCGGACTTCCTTCATTAAATTCTTGAACAGTCTAAAATACCGCCGGCTAGAATCACGTAAATTCTCCAATTGCAATAACGCACCCTCTGAACAGGAAGGCCAGCAGTGGACCTGCCAAATCCAGTCGTTTATTTCCATAGTGATCCCGGTCATCTAATTCTCGCCTTCCAAGTGCTGCTAACAGAAGTCGATGCACCATATACCTAGACAAAGCATTTAATCTTAACTGCTTGATTGGTAAGAGAACGGGGAACTTACCCCAAGAAATATGCCTTTTTAGTTTCGCAAAAATCAGAAACACCCACATGAGGTAACATTTCCTTTTGCAGAATTTCCCTTGCATACTTAATACGCCGTTCCTTTGTTACTCCCGGTCTGGCGCCTCTGGCTCCAATAAAATTCAGCGCAACATTTTGCTCTTGGATTACGAAGGCCTCGTCCAGAGAGGGTTTGACCATTTCCATCATTTCCGGGTCCTCAAAGTCGTAGATGATGTGCTCCAAAATATCGCGGTCGGCCACAAAGCCCAAAGCGCGGAAAACTATCATTATAGGGATTTCCTGCTTGATGTATGGCAGGATGGCGATGATTCTTTGGCCGATAGCTGCTTTTTTAATCGCCTGCCCGCCTCTGGCCATCATATTGACCCAGAGCGTCGATGTAGGGCGGGAACTGTGCTCTAAGCAAGATCTTATTTCAGACTTGTAGGCATACTTTCCATCTTTCATGGAAAATACATATACCGTGTTCGTGGCCATTTTCTCTTGAGCAATTAACACTTTCTCAGAGCCGTTAATAATGAAATAACCCCCTGGATCCAACGGGCACTCATTCAACTCAGTCAAATCTCGATCAGTGAGTCCGCTAAGTAAGCAATATGTTGAGCGCAACATAATTGGGATTTTTCCGATAAAGGTTTTTTGATGCTGGGTCTCGACCGGGTCTTCGCCCTCCTTGATGATAGTCTTAGTGATATCGACATACAGCGGAGCAGAATAAGTCAGGTTTCTCAGCCGAGCTTCATTAGGCATCATCGGCGACGGGGCACCATCTTTCTCCCAATGCGTGGGTTTGGACAAATAAATCTGTTCGAATTTCAGTAAAAATCTGGGCGGCACTTCGATTTCTCCAGTTGTGTGCTGAGCCTCGGCCTGCAGCTCGATGGCGGGCGAATCTTCAACAATCCTCTGCACAGACATTTGGATGAATTCATCAAAACTGTCCAACTGCTGCCGCACCAGGCCCTTTTCATCGAAGTATGCGTTGATGACAATCCAGCACGCTTCTTGCCAGAGTTCGGAGCTGATTTCTTCAGTCTCCTCATCGTCAAATTGATCTGGAAACACAATTTTTTTGGTTAAATGAAACGGACAAAAACATATAGGAAGGACAATGGTGGAGTCTGTTCTCTCCCACGGAAGGAAGGTATTCCGTAGGTAGAAATGGACAAGTATCTGCGAGGAAGAAATATCACATATATAATATAAATTGCCAAGAATCAGAAATGAGGACTAAGACAGGCAGCAGATGCAGATGAAACAGTTCTAGAAAGGATAGGATTAAGATGGTTTGAACTGGAATGGATGGAATGAGGGCATGAAAGAAGCAATAAAAGCATGTGGTTTAGTTTGCCCGAACCGGGTTAAAATATTAGTTATCTTGAAATGTTTGGTTTTTGTAGGAAACCGGCCAATATTTCTCAAGTATGATTTCAATTCATACATGCGTTATTTAGTGCTCTATTCAGTGGTACAGATGACCCGCTAGCTCAATTTGTTGGAGAGAAATGGGCAAAAAGCATGAAGTTTTGACCTAACATTGCACGTTTTTGTGTAATTTGCAAACTTTGTTTTTTGTGGTAAACCTACCACTATGTCCTAACTGAAGCGGAATATACGTGTTTCATAAGATAGAAGCGTTATTTCGAATAAGTTGGCTTCTAATGTGACCAGAAGCGTTGAATAAAACTACAGGTGTTTATCAATAATAACGTAATTTTTATGAAGAACGTTAGCAAAGTCCTAGCAGAGGAAATTGTGAAAGCCTTACCATAATCCTGTTCGTACATGGACATACTGATTTAAATTTTGCAATATTCCACTGTACTCTGGCTTATATTTATTTACTAAACTTGCTGAGATCGACTGATTGAACTAAACAATCAGTCAAGTGAGCTTCGTATGTCAAATGTCAAAGCAACGCATGTGACCAACAAACTGGCTAGGGACTTAAACTGCCTTAACTGACAAGGAGAGATATATGGTGGCGGTCTGGATATATGAAAGCAATAGGCAGAGGCTGCTAGAAAAAAATGGAAATGATTGAAAAATAGTGCGAAAATTGCGCTGATTTGATTGGAAAGATTAGTAAAGTTATAGCACGTTTAATGAGGGGAGGAAAAATTATTTACCCTTAGATGATTAATGGCGTGTGGCTAGACTGAGTGAGCACATCGAACAAGTGCCAGTGACAAATTTGACATTATCTAGTAGCAAAAAGTGTCGTTTAGTTCTCGTGTCGCTGGCGCCACCGATTCTAACTGTAATGGTGGATTTACAAGGTTGGCTTGTGTGTTTTTTTCAGTTCAAGGAAACTAAGGTTGAGTTCGTTAGCAATTGAGGAAAATTGTGAAAGGAAATTCGAAATAATCCGCCGATGAAGTATCGTCAGAGGCAGTCCAACGGAATATCAGGACAGGGACATCCGAAACGTTCGCGAATTTCGAAAAGCCCGCCCGCGAATCGTGTTATGGCCGGTAAGTTGTGTTGCAACACCACCGTTTTTCGCCAACTGTGACCTCGATAAGGGGAAATGTGAAAAAAGGTCGTGCAAAATCCAAAAATTGTACATGATGGAAGGTAATTTGTCTGTTTGTGAAGAGTAATCGTCCTTTCATGCTGCGTTACCATCCAAATGCGCACATTTTCAACCTCATTGGCCTTTAGTTTTTCCTAGTTTTTTTGCCGGATCCAGTTTGCCGTTTAGTGGTTATATTGTTTCTAGCAGTTTGATGAATTCTATTCGAAAACCCATAACAAACATTATGCAACGGGTTTCTCATGGTTTGTTCTTTGGTGAACAGTTTTTGTAGTTGCATGGCATTTCGGCGTCATGCGTTGTTAGGGCACAAACATTTTATGCATGTCGATTGCCTGCTCTTTCCACGGCTCTGAATTTTTTCACCCCAACTATTCCCTACCATCTAACTTGATCCCGTCTCCCATGCATGAATATTGTTTGTAAGCATTTTGCTTACCAACTCCCAACTTACAGTGCATTTACACTTTCCTTATACATTTTCTAGATAACTTTTCAGCCTTCTTCTAATCAGTTCTAACCAAAATGTAACTGCAAATTCCACGTGGAAGTCAGTTACCCAACGTGAAAAACCCTCCTTTCTAATATACAGGGTGTTAAGCTTGAAACCGTCCAAAATTGATAAAGATTAAAGTAAATTAGCTGACGTTGTCAATGTCCAATGTCAATCCTGATCCTTATAAGGGCCGCAATGCCACTCTCTTATACACGAGCATAAAATGAGATGCACATTGTCCAGACGGTGACAGCACTAAAATCGCAAATGGAGTTTTGACGTTTATTGAAGTGGTTTGGCACTCTTTTTTTCAAGAAAAAATCGCGTGGTGTTGCTACAATTGTGTGAATTGGAGAGTAAATGGAAATACGGAAAAATAATTTGCTGCGACGCTCAAATCACGTCTGAAACAACGAAAGCTAAACGCATATTTTCTACTAAGGCTCAGAAACCCCAAAAAAGCGTTTCTCGGCACCAACACACAATATGAAGTACCGTTTGACCCAAAAACAATTGGATTTTAGTGAATACCCGTGATTAGTTCCAATAAATCCTTGAGAATGGACGCATGCAGTAGTTTCCAGGTTTATAGAAATGATTCAATGTAAAATTTCCTCTCATTTAAGCAAATGTGCGATTTTAAACAATTTTGAGTGTACCACCTATGAAACCCATAATCAACATTACATTTGCAAGTGAATTTCTGTGCCTGAAGAATCAGTGTTTTGCGAATTCTCATTTTAGTTCATTTTGCAATGTACTTTTGCAGGAGGCAATGGAGAAACCCAGTGGTGCTTCTCGCAAGTTAAGGGAACTCTGGACGATGACGTGACTGAAGCTGATATTATATCGTGTGTAGAATTTAATCATGATGGTGAATTGTTGGCGACCGGCGATAAAGGGGGACGGGTTGTAATTTTCCAAAGAGACCCCATAAGTAAGGCGGCTTTGCCAAGACGCGGCGAGTACAATGTCTACTCCACCTTTCAGGTGTGATTTGATTAATCCGCCCGCAAAGCTCGATTGCTATTTATTGTTTTATTAGAGCCACGAGCCCGAATTTGACTACCTCAAGAGTTTGGAAATTGAGGAAAAAATCAACAAAATTCGATGGTTGAAGCGAAGAAACCCTGCACATTTCCTGCTTTCAACCAATGATAAAACAATAAAGTTATGGAAGGTCTCTGAACGAGACAAAAAGGTTGAAGGCTACAATACGCGATCAGATAATGGTAAAAAAATCGGCTTTGACCAGGAATTGGTATCATTTTGTTGATTTTCTAGGTTCCCTAATTGATCCGGCATCAGTTAGCTCACTTCGCGTGCCTATAATAAAACCCATGGAACTAATGGTGGAGGCATCGCCCCGGAGGATTTTTGCCAATGCCCACACTTACCACATTAATTCCATTTCGGTCAATTCCGACCAGGAGACTTACCTTTCAGCAGACGACTTGCGCATCAATCTCTGGCACTTGGAGATTACTGATCAAAGTTTTAATATTGTCGATATCAAACCAGCCAATATGGAAGAACTGACTGAAGTTATTACAGCTGCCGAATTTCATCCGGTTGAGTGCAACTTGTTTGTCTATAGTAGTAGTAAAGGGACTATTAGGTAAGCGACGATTCAAGCGCTTTCGCTTATAATTCATTGCCCTTTCCTGTTGCAGATTATGTGATATGCGTGCTGCGGCGCTTTGTGATCGCCATGCCAAGTTGTTTGAGGAACCAGAAGATCCGACGAATCGCAGTTTCTTTTCTGAAATTATATCTAGTATAAGCGACGTTAAATTGTCGAATAATGGCAGGTACATGATTTCTAGGGACTATCTCTCAGTGAAAGTGTGGGATTTGCATATGGAGTCAAAACCTATTGAAACTTACCCGGTAAGTTAAAAATTTCCCATTCAAAGTGTTTCAGAAGCTTGATTTGACTGACATTCAATGTGGTTTCTGCAGGTTCATGAATACTTGCGAGCAAAACTCTGTTCGCTGTACGAGAACGATTGTATATTTGACAAATTCGAATGTTGCTGGAACGGCAACGACACGGCCGTCATGACTAGTTCCTACAACAATTTCTTCCGCATATTCGACAGGACAACAAAACGCGACGTGACTTTAGAAGCGTCCAGAGACATCGCAAAGCCGAAGACGCTGCTAATGCCGCGTAAGGTATGCTCGCAAGGTAAACGGAAAAAGAACGAGATTAGTGTTGATTGTCTGGACTTTAACAAAAAAATCCTTCACACCGCGTGGCATCCCCTAGAAAATATAATTGCTGTAGCCGCGACGAATAACTTGTTTTTGTTCCAGGACAAGTTTTAGTTTGGACAATTAATATTACAATTGTGTAGTGAATGTGGTCGATGGAAAACTCGTTCTGGGTCGTGGGTGAGAGAACCTGATTCTTATTTGTGTCGTAGAAAGACCGATATTGTGAGCTGGCTCCGATTGATAAAGTAATATGATTAACAACCAATTATTTACCCCGGTGTAGATGTAAAGTTGTATATTATTTTGTCAATACTAAATCAATAATTATAATTACTCTCGTCATATTAAGAATTTCAAGTGATTGCAAGCTCCCAATTTTAAGAGTTAGGAACATAAAAGCGGCCTTTAAACGTTCGGAAATTCGATGTTTTTCAGAGATTTGATGAAATGTTAGTATGGCTTTGTCGTTCCTGACTGTGGGCGCAACGTACCAGCAAAGCTCATTGCGTTCAGTATGGAAAGTCCACGATTTCCACATATTCGGCCCGAGGATTTGTTAAATTTTCTACTTTTTTCTATTAGCTCAAACAACTCGCAATCGAATGACAAAGTCGTACAGTTTTAAAAGATCAGCAGATTTTGATCATTTTGCTCATGCATACATACATATTTAGGCTAAGTTGCGTTATTGTTCGAGAATCGGTGGCAGTGTATCGGAATCCAGTGGAGATTCCAATGAATTTACGGCGATTGAGGTGAATGAAAAACGAGATATATATTTTTTCAAATCTCCAAATGAAGCGTTTGAAAATTGAATGCAGACGATATTCACTGGATTTCAATATGTAGCAACTTTAATTTGTGCCATACTCAAAAATAGTCTATACCTCTCATTCTCATTGTGCAAGAAATTGGCCTGAAAATTCAAGTTTAATGTAAAGCTTGCGGGTTTAAAAAACCAATTGATTAACTCTCGTTTCAGACGCAGGTTGTTTTGAGCCGGCAAATTCACTTTAGATATTTCATGTGACACGTCTGACTAAAACCACTTATATGAAAATTTCTCAGTGTTCTATAAGTTAATATCCGTGTCCGGAAAACATCGTTTCACCAAAATAAGGAGCAAATATTTTTTTATAACAATAAAATCGGAAATGCGCCTCCGGGACGACACTGCAATAGATTAATTATATCAATCCAGTCTATGGTCTTTTTAAACCATCGGCTTGTGTCGCCAAAACGAAGCAATTTTGTGGTTTTACCTTTATATTTAATCTAACGCATTTTAATCTCTCGACGTATTTCAGTTTTTAATTAAGCATTCATAACAAGTAAAGTGTGTTTTTGCGAGGAAGATAAAGTCTTTAACCGGATAGTTGAGAATAGTGATATTGGCAGTATTTTCTGATTAATGTTTCTACCGGACAGTACTTCTAATTGCATTAATTTGTCGCACTATTGGCATTGGTTTATTGAAAAAGCCCTTTTTTGTGCGGTATGATTGAACTTTTTTTTTGTATTTTATCAATCTAGAAACCAGCCATTTATTATCGGAAAAAACATTGATTGTCTTCAAAACTTTTTATTAGAGTAAGATTTCACTTTTCGTTTCGAAAACCTAATAAAACCCCTAATACACTGCCACATCATATGTAACTAATATTAATACTTAACAATGTATTATGTATTTTTAAGTATACCTTCCATTTTTTTGGACTTTGTTAAAATATAAGGCATCATTTCCCCTTTTTTGTTCTGCTGCACAAATTTTATTAAAGGCTGCAACTTTCTCACATAAATCTCAGAAATTGTACATACCTGAACTTGTTATAAATAAATAAAATGGTAATGTGATAAATCTAAAAAAATAAAGAGTTTATACAAGAAGCGATGAAGATTTTGATCTGCAACTTAATCTTCATTCAATTTCGTTTAAAAATGTTCTCCGTTCATCAGTGTAACTTATGGGATTGTGGTGGAAAGTTCTTATATGCGACTGATCGGAGTTGGTCGAAGAACATCAAACACAGCACTGTATGAGGACCGAGACGAAGATACATCGGCCCGATGCCTTTGAAGAACGCCGTTAGCCCTTCTGATTTGAAGATTTTTGATACGCAATCTAAGTAGCCGCTGTACAGGACTCCTTTACCTGATGCTTCAACAGCTGGAAGCGGATTGAAGATGAAATCAATTTATCTCACGATTGAGTAAACGGTGCTTACGCTGATTATACAGCCTGGTCATAATGAGATCAAACGGCGTCATCATGAAGCTGATTGCCGCCCCTCCAACCATGCTGCCCACAAAGGACTTTAGCAGCGGATTATTCGTAATTTGGTAATAATCCAGCCATTGTTTGGTGTATTCGAAGCACAGAATTTGTGAGGATCCGCCAACAAATGCCCGGGGAATTGTGGCTCCAGCTCCCCGAAACAGGCCCTTAATCTGGAAGGATTTCATCACTTTTAGCGCAGGCTTTTGGGGAATTGCCATTTTTTACCCCATTTGCTGTGTAAATATCCTTAAGGGCCTGGACACTACCAGTGAGTCGATGCTGATGCCCGACAGCAATGGAAGCGGCCGCTTGCGATTGCAGCTGGGTTTTCACTAGAAATAAGGGGCTGGCCAGGTAATGCCCCAAAACAGATCCCGCTCCGGTAATTAGCACACTTTTTGAGAACTTCATGTTGCCGTTCTGGTCTCTTAAGTAGCCTGCAGAGTCCGCAAAACCGTACACGCCTGCAATGTAATTGATTATTGAAATAAAGGGAAAATTTTCGCCGAATATTTGCTGTTTTATTAATCCCATTTACAATTAGAAATCAGTTTAGTTTTTGCGGTACTATTCTCAATATTTACTATTTATTTATCGTGAATATGCCAGTCATCTTATCACGCTAACGAATGTTTTTATATTAATCGGCTGAATAATTTCGTCATTCAAATGGCTTGTTGTTCTTACCCAATCTCGAGCCATTCATGACGAGCTGCACCCAAAGGGCGGGCGCTAAACCTTTCTGAAGGGCCAACAGGCCGTCGTTTTTCACTACGACAAATCCAGCGTGGAAAACGTTCTTGTAATGGACCGCATGCTGGCCTTTAGCCTTCAGTTCGCCTTGGAGTTGGAGGCGCGTCTTCAACACCTCCAGAGGGTTGGTGAAGATGCACGCTCCCATTGCGGCCACTCCGCCAAGAGCGAATTCCATCTAGAACAGGTTTTTTGTTATATTTATTGAAAAAATACCCAAATTACCTTAGAGCTGCTTCAATCCGCTTTGCTAAACTGATGGATGGTTTGTAGGGGTTTCCACATCCATTTAAATACGTCTTAGTGAAAAGCTACGAAAACAAACAGTGCATTTGTGGATTTTATCGCGGATGTTGAAACGACTTGATCGCTCTTACTGTAATGAGAATGAATGTGATTAAAGAAACCTTAGACGGGCATGCTTATCAACACCAATAATTGCTCAGATGGAATATACACAGTGTTTAAAAAAACTGTTAGGTCTTCAGCCAACTACGGTCTTATTTTGTTAAGAAAATGGTGTTTTTTGAGAAATTATCACCCTATTTATGAGCAATTTAAACAAACTTATCAGTTGGTAGCAAGAGCGTTTACACAAGATTTACAATCATTGGCAGCATTACCTTATTCAAATTAAAGAAAAAATTATACAAGTTAAATAGGTCGTCGTGTTACGCTGTAGCTAGTCATTGTAATTTTACTTTTGTGCATTTAACACAAAAAATACGCTAGTTGTTCACTTGTAATATTTACATAAACTCGTCCATTCAAATGGACGCAAGAGGAAATCAATAAGAAAAGAAAAGAAGCTGTTTTTTCAGCAAAACTGCTGAAATTGGGGCCCACTTCTAGGTTAATTCGCACAAGGTCGATTTTGTGTTGCTTGCGCGATTATATTATTACGTAATCATACCTTATTTCACTTGTTCATTGCTTTTGCTCCAATTCGACGTAAAATTCAACTAACACATTTAACTTTTGAAGCCTTTTAAGTTAAACTGTATATATTTAAATGCATTTTTAATCTCGTTGAATGGCATCAATTGATAAAGCAGTGATTTACAAATCTGAAGTACCTACTAATTAAGAATAGATAAAGTGATAATTAAGCAAGTTCCTTAGGAAATGAGGCGATTTTCCATACAGTATGAATAAATATTATGCAAGCAAACATTTTACATCGGCGTGGATACACATAAAAAAAACAAATACTCACTTTAAAATTTTATTCCAAAGCTATGTACACATTCAAAACTAAAATTATTCTGGAAGAAGAAGTTTAGTAAATTGGGAAATAACATTAGGATGCATTAAAAAAGTACGCCACTTTTAACGTGTTTTTTGGTCAATATCCACATATCCTAGAAAAAATTACACCATCAGAGTATCTCAATCTGGAAAAATGTATGACAACAAAGAGAACAGTGCATACAGTGCAACACACTATATCTAGCACAAAAGAACCTTTGCGGAACTTGCAAAAAACGACACTATACTTCAGCTCTTCTGGGTATATCTTCTAGAAACAATAAAAAATCGTTTTAGTCATAGGAATCAGTTGGGAATTAAATGTATTCAGCATTGAAAAATAGACAAACTATAAAAATATGCAAAATTCATTTTTGTCTTAAAAAAACGCAAAGTTCAAGACTAAAGTAAAAATGTATGGGTTTTCGCTTCAGCATCAACCCCTTTTGTCACTTTTTGGAACGGAAAAATTGGCACTTTTTTAATAAAAAACCGGCTGTTAGAAGCGCTTTGAAGGTGCTGATATCCCTAAAATACCTTAGATAAAACGGTTTCGGGCGTTGGTAAAAGGCAGCTTCTACGCAGTAGTTTAGCATACATTTCTGTTGCTAAATTGTATTTTTTGCGAAAACTAAAAAAAGCTGCGACCCAAAACAAACATCCGGCTCAATTTTCCTACAATTAAGCCTTTGATTGCCGCTAACATTGTGAGTTAGGCCAGAATCAATATTTAAACAAACGACTGCTAATAAAACTTCAGCAAACCAGCTTGTTCATTGGAAGGCCCATCGTAAAACCGACTTTAGAATGGATTTGATAAATACGCAATTAAAATTATTCTTACTCTCTTTCTCGCGTTCTTCCGCGCGGGCTTTCATCCTGGTGATAAAGGCGGCACCTTTGTTTTTCCTAAAGTTCTCATAGGGATCGTTCAAGTTGCACCCTACCCCTTTAAACTGATCCTGCCGATCCCGCACATCACCCCCGGATATCGGAGCGTCGATGCCTTGCTCGTTCGCCCCCAGCCCTTTTCCGCCCCATCCCATTTTGCGCAGCATTTCGTGGCCTTTATTGGAGGGATCCAGTTCTTGAGCCTCAGCTCGCAGGTAGGGCATGCTAAAATTTCACATTTCTGGCTTTGCTTTAAGTAGCGAAAAAAACACTTACTTGCCGAACCCTGGGGTTGGAGACATGGACCTTCTCAGTGGGGACTTTGATTTGGATCTCGACCTGGACACACTCCTACGTCGCTTTATCTCTCTGCTTTCCCTCAACTCTCTGCCCCGGCGCTTTCTAGGGCTCCGCGAGCGGCTTCGGGACTTCGATCTGGACCTTGATCGCGATCTTTTCTTCCTGCTACTTCTTCGGTGCGATGAAGGCGGCGGCGTGGGCGATTTGCTGCGGTACCGCCTTTTGGGCGGCGTCTCGTCCTTCTCCGGTTTCACTACTATCGGCGATGGGCTTCGCGACTTTTGTCTGATTCCGGCCTTTATCGCCTCATCTTTTTCTCTTTTGGCGTGATTTTTCGCCTTATAGTATTCGTATAAACCTAATTTTTCCCAGCCTTCACTGTGATTACATAATAATAAATAATATAATTCGGTAAGGTAAAGATAAGTTTTATATTGTTGAGGCGGATTCATCTTTTTACAAACTCCTTTTT